CGAGTACCGTTGGGGTACAAACTAAAAGTACCATAAGATCCGCCAAACTTAAATTCATAAGAAAAACGTTTGTTGAATTTCTCATGTCTTTTGATTTGAATATAACTATGGGTACCATAACGTTACCCAAAACTCCGATACCCATAATAAAAGAACAAATTACCTATATTTGAAAAACAAACAACAAACAATTAATATTTATTAATATATATTAAAACCGGAAATTGATTGATTTGTACTCACCGTTGCTGTTGTTCTTATGTAGGGTGGAAAAACAGGTGAATTACCATAAATGCTGTCGTTTGTTGAATAATTACTTATGTTGTTATTATATTGTTGTAATGTTATTGCTCCTGTTCCGTTCATTTTTCTCCCGTTTGTTTGTTTGTTTGTTATGGCGATCGCGTCAATTATCGTAACATTTTTTTACGTTTTTTTTTTTTAAGAAAAATATCCTTTGAAACAAAAAAATCTGTAACAAACAACAAAAAAAAATAATATATATTTAAATAAGTTTAACAACCGTTAGAAAATTTACATTTTCCATTTATTTATTTTATTTTATTTTTCAATGCTTTAAATTTTACGGCCATTTTTTTTTTTTTTTGTTTCGATTTGATATCGAAGAATTGAAATTCGTTGACCCTTTTTTTTGTTAACTGTTAAAAAAAAAAAAAAAAAACTAGGAAGTGATGGCGGTGGTGGTGGTGGTGGTGGCGATGATGGCGTGAAAAAAGGAAAACAAAAAAAAAAAAAAAAGAAAATCTTGGCGGGGTTTATCACAGGAAGTCGAAGGGTTGGAAGGAGGTGGTGAGGAGAGAAGAGGAGACAGGGGGATGAAGAAAAGGAAGGAAACGAAAAGAAATTAAAAGCGTAAAAAAATTTAAAATATTTTTTTTAAAACAAAATGTAAGAGAAATGAGAGCAATATTTTCTTTTTTTCTGTTTATTTGTTTGTTTGTTTGCGAAGTCGAAATTTTCTTTTTTTTATTATTATTACAACAAAAATTAAAATATAAAAAGTGCGTGAGTGCGTGTGAGTGCGCGTGAGGCAGGGAAATGAATAAGTTATAAATAAAATAAATTTGTACAAGCCGCCATTTTGTTTATTTTTCCAGGTGATTATCAACGAAAAAAAAACGAATTAAATTGATGTGATGACGTCATTTTTTTTGTAAACAAGTTTTCGAATTTTTTTTTTTTTCGGTTTCTATTAAAATTTACCGGATTACATGACGTAAATGCAATTTTTTTTTGTCTTATTACACGACGACGATGATGATAATGATGATGATCATGTTTCAAGACTTTTATTACTTGATTAAATACGAGATTAAATCGAAAAGGTTTTTTTTTTTTTATTGAGTTGTTAATTTCAAACGTTAAAAGGCTTATTTTCTATCCCTTTTTTCCTTTTGCTCGGGTTAAAAAAAAAATTTTCCTAAAATTTATTTTTCATTTCCATATAAAAATTTTCCTCTTTCCTTTTTCTTCTTTTTCTCATCATCATCATCATCCGTTTCTTTCATTTGCCAGAAACTTTTTTTTTTTTTTAAGTCCGAATGTGCCAGAGTCAATTTAAAAAAAAAAAAAAAAAACAATTTTCGTTCCATATGGAAACAATTTGGCTTCCGTTTGTTTTAAAACGATTGATAAAATCGATCGGATTTTAAATAATCATCCGACAGAGATTTCAACCCACAAAATTTAAAAACTTTTTTTTTTTTTTTAACTTCTTCCGGCTCTTTTTGTTTAAAAAAAAAAAAAAAAAAGTTTTTAAATTTTCATCAATTTGACTCGAATGATTTTTTATTTTTAAAATTTATTAATTTTTACAACCGAAAATTTAAAAGAAAAAAAAATAAATTGATAATGATTTTATAAGAATTCCCCCCTCCCGATCCCCCCTTTCCCCCTTTTCCTCCTCCCCCCGTTTCGTTTCTTTCAACGGTCGGGATTCTTCCGGTTTTATCCGAGACTTTTAAAAATGGCGACTTCATCGATATGAACATCATTTACCCTTACTTTTATTAAAATTTTAATCCCCGTTTGTGTTGATCGTTTGTCACGGAGCACATATATATACATAATCTCACGAAATCACACTGGTGAGAGAGAGAGAGAGTGTGAAAAAGAGAGAGAGAGGGGTGAGAAAAGGGGGAGAGAGAAAGAGAAAGAAAATTAAATTAAAAAAATAAAAAAAAAATATTTCCCTTTATTTTTTTTTATTTTTATTTTGCATTGTTTGAAATTAAAAAGAGAAAAAGATAGATAGATAGAGAGAGATAGAAAGAGGAAAAAGAGGAAAAATACCTAGAAAGGTAATAAAAAAAAAAAAAGAAACAATAACACACACACAGAGACCGGAAATGAAATTTCAAATATTGCTTGCTTGCTTATTTTTTTTAATGTTTGCTGTAAAAATATACGGTTGAAAAAAAGAAAAAATGAATGTGATAAATGTTAAAAAACTGGAGAAAACTGGCGAGAAGCTGGAGAAAATTAAAATGAAAAAAAAAATTCCTATTTTTTCTTAAAAATAATATATGTAAATAACAAACGGGAAAATTTTTTTTTTTTTAAACGTATATGCAAAAAAAAACCTTCGATTTTAAAATTTAATTATGTAAAAAAAAATGACGTGGCAGGAGAAAAATAGAACAGGTGGCGGCTATGAAAAGATTTTTTTTTTTTTATTAATTAAATAAATATCTCGAGACAAGAGCGCACACGGTTAGTTAAATGTTTGAATGAAAGCCAATTTTTTTTTTTTTTTTTTTTTTTCAATGTACCCGTTAAAAAATTATTTATTTTTAAAAGTTAATTTTGTTTGTTGTTGTTGTTGTTGTTGTTATTTTCCGGATCGATAACAAAAACAAACAAAAAATATTTAAAAATCAATAAAAATTTATGTTTTGTTTTTCCCTCCGTTCCATTGTTTTTTTTTTTTTTTTTTTTTTTTTAAAATAAATTTGATGGTTTTTTTTTAACGTGGAACTAACTAACGAACAACAACAACAACAACAAATCAATCCAAATAATAATAATAATAATAATGTGAAAAAGTCAAACGTGATAAAGGTCAAAAAACCTGAGAAACAAACATTTCAGGTTTTTTTTTCTATTTTTTTTCTCTCTCTCTCTCTCTCCCTTTCTCTCTCTCTCTCTCTCTCTCTCTCTCTTCATTGCCATTTGTTATCAATTAATTATTTATCATTTATCATATAGAATTTTATAGTAGGCTGTGAAAGTTTTTTTTTTTTTTTTTTTTTTTTTTATAAGAGTGAGACCGGTGGGCGCCATTTTCCAAATAAGAAGAAGAACACGAATCGAATTATGATTCTGGCGCCATTTGGATTATGCCATTCCTTATTATTATTATTATTAATAAGCATTTATTCGATTTTAATGTTATGTGTTGTTGTGTTTGTTTGTTTGTTTGTTTTTTTAACGTGAGTTTCTAAAAAAAAAAAAAAATTTTATAATTTTTCTTAACAAAAACATTCAACAACAACAACAACAAGTTGGTTCGATTTATGTTGTCGTCATCATCTATCTTGTTTGTTTTTTTCGTTATCTTTTCATAAAAATCAAATGAAAATTTAAATTTTCTTATTATTATTATTATTATTATTATTATTTCGTGCGTTTGTATTGTTATCCATTCGATTTTTTTAATAGAAACAAACAAACAAACAAAAATTTACGTTTTAATTTTAAAATCGATTTTCTACTTATTATTATTATTATTAATCCAAAAAAAAAAAACGAAATTTCCTGTCGTCATTGTTGTCGTTACTGTCGTTATTGTCGCTGTCGTAAAGTAAAAAAAAAAAAAAATTTTTTTGTAATTTAAAATTAAAAAATTCTTTTACTTTCTCGTTCCACGTCTATGGCGTTTTTGTTTCTCTCACGGCGTCGCCGCCATTTTTTTTTTTTTTTTATTAATAAAATAAATTTTTTTTTTTTACTCTTTCTCAATTGTTTTAAGGTAAAATTTAATTTATCAGCTAATGATAGATAATTTAATTTTAAAAGGTTGTTGTTGTTGTTGTTGTTAAGCGATCCAGAAAGAAAAAAAACAAACGTTAAGCCTTTTATATTGAAAGGGGATATTAAATAAGGTTTTCGACCTTTTAAAAAAATTTTTTTTTTAATTTCGAAAACGTTTATATCCACACACGCCTAAATACAAACAAAACAAACACAAACAACAAATTTTTTTTTAAAAAGTGGTTCTAATTGTAAAGACAACATAACTCGAAATGTTGACTGGGGTCAAGTATTTGCCAAATCGATTGCCAATTAAAAAAATTTTTTTTTTAAAAAACGATAACAACCTGTTATATTTATTTAACGGTTTTTTTTCGTATACGATTGTGATTTGTAATCGTAAGACGTTTGTTGTTTGTTGTTGTTGTTTAAAACAAAAAGTTTTTAGTTAAAAACGTTAAAAATTTTTTTTTTTATCTTTAAATTTTCATCTTGCAATCAACGCAAAAAAAAAAAACTCGAAAAACTTTTTTTAAAATTTTCCATTAAAAAAAAAAAAATCTTTACAAGTTTGTTGTTTGTTGTTGTTGTTGTTGCTTCATTTTTTTTTTTTGCTATAAGAAAAAAAAAAAAAATTTTCCTCCCGGTTAAAACATTAATCAGCAAAGTTTCAATAATAAAAATAAATAAATAAATAAATTGCAAATAATTATCATCATCATCATCATCATCGTCATCGTCGTGGCATCAACCTGGCATAATAATAATAATAATATTTAATTTCGTGATTTTTTTTTTTTTTTTTAACGTTTCGTAAATATCTGACAGATTTATTTTTTTTTTTTTTAATATGAATTTTCCATGTTTGAATAAACAAACGCAACAACAACAACAAACGACACACGTTACATATGCCAATCCAACGACAACAACAAGAACCTCAAAAACGTTCAATTTTATTATTATTATTATTTTACCGTAATTTTCTCCCACGTACGTTTTTCTTTTTTTTTTTAAGAGTGAATAATATCGTTAAAATTTTCTTTTTGGTTGTTGTTGTTGGAGTTTTATTATGTCGTTTGTTCAACAAACACATTCGAATTAAAATTTTTCTCCTTTTTAAACAAATTTTTCAATTTAATTTATTATTATTATTATTATTTGAAATGATTTTTGAAATTACAATCGTTCCCAAAAAAATTTTTATTTCGAAACCGTTTTCCCCTCCCTCCCTCTCTCCCTTCCCTTCCCTCCTATCTCTCTCTCCCTCTCCTGTTTCCCCCTCTTCCCGAAACTTTTCATCCACGGGTTTTCCCGTTCTGGGAAAATTTTCGTTATATTTATTTAAAAAAAAAGAAAAAAAATTTCCCACG